TCATAGTATAGTATGGCATCAAAATGGCATAAAAATCGTCATCATACAGTATGGCATCAAAACGGCATAAGAAACGTCATAGTATAGTATGGCGTCAAAATGGTGTACAAAACGTCATAGTATAGTATGGTGTCAAAATGGTATAAAAAATGTCATAGTATAGTATGGCATCAAAATGGTGTACAAAACGTCATAGTATAGTATGGCATCAAAATGGCCTAAAAAACGTCATAGTATAGTATGGCATCAAAATGGTGTACAAAACGTCATAGTATAGGATGGCATCAACATGGCCTAAAAAACGTCATAGTATAGTATGGCATCAAAATGGCATCAAAATCGTCATAGTATAGTATGGCATCAAAATGGCCTAAAAAACGACATAGTATAGTATGGCATAAAAATGGCATAAAAAACGTCATAGTATAGTATGGCATCAAAATGGCATAAAAATCGTCATCATATAGTATGGCATCAAAACGGCATAAGAAACGTCATAGTATAGTATGGCATCAAAACGGCATAAGAAACGTCATAGTATAGTATGGCATCAAAATGGTGTACAAAACGTCATAGTATAGTATGGCATCAAAATGGCATAAAAAACGGCATAGTATAGTATGGCATCAAAATGGCGTAAAAAACATCATAGTATAGTATGGCATGAAAACGGCATAAGAAACGTCATAGTATAGTATGGTGTCAAAATGGTGTACAAAACGTCATAGTATAGTATGGCATCAAAATGGTGTAAAACAACGTCATAGTATAGTATGGCATCAAAACGGCATAAAAACGTCATAGTATAGTATGGCATCAAAATGATGTAAAAATCGTCATAGTATAGTATGGCACCAAAATGTAGAAAAACACATCATAGTATAGTATGGCATCAAAACTGCATAAAAAACGTCATAGTATAGTATAGCACCAAAATGTAGAAAAACACTTCATAGTATAATATGGCCTAAAAATGGCATAAAAAAGCCTTATACTATTGTATGGCATCTAAACAGCTTCAGAAACGTCATAGTATAGTAAGGCCTCAAAATGGTGTAAAAAATTTCACAGCATAGTGTGGCATCAAAACTGCATAAAAAACGTCATAGTATATTATGGCATCAAAACAGCTTCAGAAACGTCATAGTATAGTGTGGCATCAAAACGGCATAAAAAACGTCATAGTATAGTATGGCATCAAAACAGCTTCAGAAACGTCATAGTATAGTATGGCATCAAAATGGCATAAAAAACGTCATAGTACAGTATGGCATCAAAACAGCTTCAGAAACGTCATAGTATAGTAAGGCCTCAAAATTGCGTAAAAAGCGTCATAGTATAATATGGCATCAAAATGGCGTAAAAAAGGTCATAGTATAGTAAGGCCTCAAAATTGTGTAAAAAGCGTCATAGTATAGTATGGCATCAAAACGGCATAACAAACCATCGTAGTATAAAATGGCAACCAAATGGCACGTCATAGTCCAGTCTGCAAAAAAATGTCATTCCAAAAGTTGGCTTGGTATGCAAAAAATATTTTTAGTATAGTATGCCATAGTATACAGTCTCATAAACAATTTAATTTCAAAAGTCATCGTATAGTACGCCATGGAATGTTATAAAACATGTAATTGAATTTTGTAATACAAGTTTTAGTCTAGTTTTTCAATAATTGTCAAGAAAAAGTCACATTATTGTAACCTTTATTAAAATGCTTTTTTGTTGTGTAAATAAAATGATAAGTTGCTGATGTTGGTTCAAAAGTAATATAGGATTTGTTGGGTTATGATTCCAAAATATTTAAATTTTGCTAACTAATCTTCCACTGGAAGACAAAATTGTTTGGTTAGCTTGATGACCAGTTTTGCCATTTATAACAAACATAACAAAGGTCTGTAATTCAATCTTAAACATGCCCACAATAATTGATCCTACGTTTTCCTCAGTGCAGCTCAATAGTCTTTTGCTCAACCCCTTCTGCCCACATATTATATATCATACAACTTGCTGTCAGAGACTGAGTTGTATTCCCCATGATTAGTAACCATTTTGTGTAAAATCAGTTTGTGTTATCCTTGAACAGAGCACCCTGACACCTCACAGACAACCTTTACCATTTATTAAAAACTATGTACAGTATGATTCAGAGTTACAGACATCCAGACACCTTTTCACATGTGCAGCAGTGCACTTGTTTTGCATACTTTGCTTCCCTAAACTGTGACAATGGGAAGCAAACTGCTACACATGATGACACTACAGCCAAAGCTTCCACACTGTGCTGCATCCACATATCACTATCTAATCAAAACAACCCCAAACTAGGAAGGCAAACTGTGAAGACGGACTGGCCGAGGAGCTAAGAACCTTCATGTCCTGTGATGAGAAGCAGTGCAGGAACTATGACAGACTCATAACAGCTTGCTACTTGTTTCAACTTGTTTTGGCAGTTGACAAAACACCGTCATTGTTCACTGGTAAAATGACAAAAACAAATACACAGTTTCAGGCAGTTAATGGTTTCAACATATCACAGAATAGTGTAGGTAATCAATAAATAACTTCTCTTAAACACAGCCAGCTTTCTATCATGCTCTCTAAAAAAATATAAATGCATAAAGGCTCCAATCCACATTCTAGATAATGTGACATGATACACTGAAGGGACGATTTCAGGAAGTTCCATTATCCACCAAAATCACTGAGTTAAAATGGTTTGAACATGCACATACAGAGCCAACACAAAAACAGTGATGTCACACTGAACTTTTAAAATCCAGTACCTCCATACATGTAATATATGATGGGTTATAAACTAAACAATACTTTAACCAGTAATTATCAGTCATTTCTCACTGGATATGATTTGATAATCTCCTCATGCAAAGAGCTTTCGTAATATTTAATAAGTGATGTGGGGACAGTGAGCTGATGGCATGAGAGGCACCGAAGATATGAAGGGCTGTGCTCACACTTGTCTTTTGTTGTGCGGCTTCTATCTACACGTCTCGTCAAATCACAACAGGGAGCAGAAACCTGATCCAGCTGTTGAAGTGAGACCATGTAAAGAACTAGTCTGCCATTTTGGGAAGTATTTATTGGCCTTATTTTACAAAACCTTAAGCTTACATTACCCACAATGCAATTCACAAGCCTGTGGGTCAGACAGTGATTTGAGTGTTGTGCTAGCAGCAGCTAATGTAGCCAAGGCTGCTAGCTTCAAGCAGAGATTAGGAGTGAGTTACAAAGGTCTGGTGAGCTGGTGAGTTTTTAAATTTTACAAACTTTTAGTCTTCAGCCCCAAGTGACATTGACTTAAAGGGAAATGTAAGTATTTTTCAACCTGGACCTATTTTATCTCATGTTTTTGTGTCGAGGAGACACAAATAAAGACAACTAATAAAGACAACTGCAGCTGGCAGCAGCGAAACAGGCTGCAATGTAACCACTAAGGACATTCAACACCATCAATATACGTCCACTAAGAGTGCTTGTTTTGCTGCTGACAGATTTAGATTGTTATTGTAAGTGTTTGACAACCTTATGGAAAGAATCCTACAGAGACAGACCTTTTTGTTTAACCAGAAACAGCCCTGACATTGCTATCGACCAATTCACCAGACTCCATTTAAATAAGCAATCATTTCAACATCACAAAACACACTTGATTCAAAGTCGACGGAAACAAAATAAAACTAAAAAAAAAACATCATGGTCCATCAATCACCAGCTCTGGTTTGGTTCAAATTAACCCTTAATTCACCCAGTTAGATGTGAAAATGTGCTGGTTATACACACCCTAAAATGACTGTTTTTTTTTTAAATGGAGTCAGGTGGGTTTAGCGATGGTAATTTCAAGGCTGTTTGTAGTTACACAAAAAGGATGTCACTCTTTAACAAAAAAGTCTGTCCAGGGTTCACACGGTCATTGAAAACCTGGAGAAGTCATGGAATTTCAGTGTCATTTTCCAGGACTGGAAAAGTCATGCAGTTTGTATAAATCATTGGAAATTTTGGAAAACTCCTGGAATTTCATTGTTTGTAATGAAATTAACTGTTGCAGTACCTTCCAGATAATGTAACATAATAGTAATTTTATTTTGTTTTAATTACCTGTGGATGACAACATTATGGGTGGGATTACTACAGAGATAAACAGGGTTCCCACACATTCTCATGGACAAGATTTCAAAATTTTCCCATGACTTTTCAAGAACCATCATAAAATTTTCATTTCAGAAAAGCTTGCACGTCACTGTCTGCTGCACTTGCTGGCTTGGTTATGGTACTTTTCTACACACACATATGCAAGAGAGTCTCGCTTCCCGTAGCAAATGCCGCCACACCACATCACATAAACACGCAATTTCTAAAAGGGTTGATAGGTATAAGTCATGGAAAACAAGAACTGTGCAACGTTTCCATTTGTATCGAGCATCAAAAAAATTGTTTGAGCTAATTTGCCTCACCTGACGTTGCACATTGTTCAACAGGACTATTATGCATTGCAGTGTCGATGCTGAAATGATGTATCAAGCAGCCCTAAGTTGACGCATATTAGTGCTATGTTATCTCCGTGGGTAATTTACAGGAAATAAATTCACTATTATGTTACATTACATGGACTTTTCCAGAACTTTATACAAACTCCATGACTTTTCCAGGCCTGGACAAAGAGATTGTGAAATTCCATTGCTTCTCCTGGTTTTCCATGACCCGGGAAACCCTGGACAGACCTTTTTGTTGAAGAGTAACACCTTTTTGTTCAGCCAGAAACCGTTCTCCAAAATCCATATCACCGAACATACAAGACTTCATTTAAATAAACAGTCATTTTAGGATGTGTATAACCAGCAAATTTTCACATCTAACTGGGTGAATTAAAGGTTTACTTCAACCAAACCAGAGCTGGTGATTGTTGGAACAGCCTAAAGACAAACCAAGATGCTTTTTGTTAGTTTTATTTTGTCTCTGTCAAATTCCAATAAAGTGTGTTTTGGGATGTTAAAATTATTGTTTAAATTTAATGTTTAAATGGAGTTTGGTCAGTTGGTTGATAGCAATTTCGGGGCTGTTTCTGACCAAACAAAAAAGGTCTATCTCTGTAGGATCCTTTCCAAAACGTTAAACACTTATAACAATCTGAGCCTGTCAGTGGCAAAAACCAGCACTTTTAGTGGACGTAAATTGCGCTTCTATAGCGCCTTTCTAGTCTTCCAACCACTCAAAGTGCTTTTTACGCTACAAGTCACCTTCACCCATTCACACGCTGGTGGCCAAGGCTACTGTACAAGATGCCACCTGCTACTCAGCTTTAACACACACTGATGGAACAGCTATTGGAAGCAATTTAGGGTTAGTATCTTGCTCAAGGACACTACAACATGTGGACTTGAGGGGCAGATTGAACCACCGATCTTCGGATTAGTAGACACACTCTACCTCCTAAACCACAGCCACGCGCAATTACGTTGCAGTCTGTTTCGCTGCTACCCTCTGCAGTGCTCTCACTCAGTACTGGACCAACTTCAAAAACTGTCGTCTTCGTTAGTCACGTAGACACAAAAACATGGGAAAACAAAGTCCAGGTTGAAAAATACTTAAGTTATTCTCATGAGGACACCATTTAAGATAATTCATAATATTTCGGGCAGCCAAAAAAGGCTTACATTTTTTTACACGACCTACAAATGTGTCAAATCTGTGGAGATTCCCTTTAAATAAATGTTCATGCTAATAATGCTATAATGCTAATAATGGTAGTCGGTGTCAGACAGGAGAGAGATTTAACCGGACACGTTCACTGGAGATAAAGAAAAAGCTATTTGGGTGATAAAGCCGTGTGATTACACAAAATCTGTTTTTCAAAATACCTAAAATTGAAAATAAATAACTACATGCAAATGACAAGTGTAACCACAGCCGGCAACACCAGCGCCACTACCTTTCACCTCAGCACCAGTTCGGCTGACTAAACTTATAATGTTGCACTTTGATATAATATAGTTAAACTTTGGGTACAAAATGTATTTTAAATACTTGACTTAAATACTCAATCAAACTGTTTGAGGCGTCTCCAGCCTTGTAAATTAATATTAATGAATTCTTCAGGCTGAAAAACTTTTATAAATGACCTTTAATGTGATGCGGAGGACTGTCAGTTGCAGACGGAGCCGTCTTTATGTAGCTTAGTGACACAAGCAAACAGCAACAAGAGGGTTTCACATCTTCCACATAACATAAATTGAGTGTATCAGGAGACGACGGCAAAAGGGACTTTGATTAAAGAAATATTAAGGGAACTTTGATTTACATATGATTGTTTGGCCCCACTAAGAAATATGGGCAACTGACATCAATTCTGCAAAATTAGACTTTGCATGGATGTTGGTAGAAATACATGAACCACACCCTAAGAAACAACATGCCGTAGTACCTAGCACCACGTTAGCCTCTCTGGGCAGGATTGTTTTATTTTGTTAAATGACAACAGAAGCAGACAGGATCCATTTCTTCTTGGTTTAACTCCGTGATGAAAGAAATGTCCCCTCTGTACGCTGCGAGTTCGTTCTCAAACACGATACAACACAAAAAACAATGTTCAAAGGTCGTCTAGGGTACAATCTCCTTATTGAGTGAATGTCACCACGTCCTTCTGTGTTTTGTTTTTGACTGCCTCTGTTGCGACTGCAGACACAGTCACATGTAGTGATAGAAGAAGCAGCTCACGTCTGACGGCTGACGTCTTGTGGCTCCAAAAGTCTGGAGACGTTCATCCAGCTCAAACAGACAAATCGTCGAGCTGGTTTTCGTCCATGCTGAAGACTAATTGGTGAATTGATGGTGACTGCTGGGCACATTCAGAAGGCTTAGGACCAGGCTGCGGGGTGGTTTCAGAGAAGAGTCCGAGCAACGTATCTAAGGAGACCTCCGTGTTGGAAAAAGATAATGTCCGTCTCAGTGTCAAACAGCGCAGTGACGAAGAAGGACTTCCCTTGGCTTGTCTGAAAGAAACACAAGAACAACTCCTTCACTACATGATTCATCAAAGTGCCTTTATTAACACACAGCTGCTCTGGATCAAATATATTTTTAGCAGCTAAAGAGCAAGATACTTTTCTCAGGAATTGCTGAAGATGAAAATGGAACTAAACAAAGAGTGAATATTAGACACTTGTTCTTCAGGTTGCCAGAAACACGACTTCAATGATAATAATGTTGCTTTGTGTCTGGTGAGTGTGTATGTAAACAATAATTTGCTAATGTACTCTTAACAGCTTTAAACTGGTAATAATCTGTCAAAGCTGCAATTTTTTTCTGCTTCTTAGTGGCAAAAAAAAGAACAGGGTGTTGACAGGTATCACACACTTAAAATAAATGCTTTTTAAATTTTAACCAAATTTAAGACAAATCATCTTGCTTTTTAATTCAAGCATTGCAGGTAAGTACAAAGGTGAGAAGTATATATGTGAGTTACAGTGAGTTAGGTTAATTTACATTTTGCCAATTGCAGGTATAAATAAAAAAAAAAGATTCAGAGTATTAGGTTCAGTGGTAGATTTAAAGATTTCTAACATCAGAAATGTGGACGTTGATGTTGAAGAGCTTGACAAAAAGAGATTAAAAGATGGATAAATCAGATAAAATGTTCGCAGCAATTAAGACCTCACACTTTCAAATTTAAGACTATTTAATGACTTTTAAGGCCTTATATCTAAGACTTTTTAAGGACCTGCAAACACTCTGATTTTCCAGTGTAGCTTTAATTTTGTTAAATAATCTTTGTAAATTGTTATGGAATTTAAAAAAAAATTGTCAGGTTACACATGTCGGTTTGCTACTCTACAGTTAAGTAATCGTACCAGCACTCTGCTAATCTAATAAGGCGTTGCTACACTGGTTAGCTAGCTGCTGCTCTGTATTGCGCACCACCCAGGTTAAGTGGGAGCTAGCTAGCGTCGCTGCTAATTCAGCAATGATAGCTGGTAACAGCAATCCCAAGCCATGGTGGCCTTGCTGTAAAAACATTGTGGCCACCCTCTGATCTCCCACCAGGTTGCCCCAGTGAGTAAACTGCTTCATTTGGAGCTGCAAAATCCCTTTAGCTTTGTTAACTATGTAGCACCATTAGCTGCGTCAGCATGGCTAGTATAGCTAAAGGGGGTTTTGCCGCTCAAAATCAAGCCATGTTTCAGTCAAAACGCCATCCCACCACCATGAGCCTGGACAGTGTGTTACCAGTGGCAATCGCTAAATGAGCTGCACGACTAGCTAGCTCCTGCCCTGCCAGTGCACAGTACAGAGTGGCCAAGGATTGCTAATCAGTAGGGGTGTAACGATCCATCGATCTGGATCGACATATCGATTAAATGATCAACAATCCAATGTCATCGATGCAAAGTGAAAACATCGATCCATGTCTTCATCTTTATGATACACTTTTATTTTGAAAATCCATCAAACAGCGACAGACAGACAGCGAGCAGCTTCTGTAACCAACAGTGTTAAATGTTTCAGCATGTTAACTCAGCTAGACGGCTGTCTACCACGAAAGTCAACAGAATAAAAAACAAAGGCAAGACATTTTCTCACAACATTTCACCACCTGCAAGCAGGTAGTGCTTTGAATTGTGTTGCTAAAGCTCACTGAGTCAATGAAGTGACAGACCAAAAAGAAAGGCCTCCACTACTTCACGTCACTGCACGTGTTCTTCTTATAAAATGAGCCTGTTAGTTACTGGTTAATGAGTGTCGAGCTATTGAAAGCAAAATGAACTTCAACTGACATCCCTATTCTGAAAATTGTCAAGAGCTGTGCGAATAATTTACAACTTCTGCCACCTCAACAAAAAGAAATCAATTCAATTAAATTCATTTCACCAGAATGTTTCACTCAGTGTCGGCGGTGCTTTCCAGGGAGTCTCGCCTACAGACATTAACAAATAAACAAAACAACAAGCCAAGTTTCTGTGTGTGACAGTGACCACAGCTCAGGGCTGACCGTCTGCTGCCTACCTTGACAGTGAGCTGCTGCCTCGGACTCAGGCTGTCCGGCCTGATGATGGTGAACCTCTCCTTCCCGCTGAGCTCCAGCGAGTCTGCGTTCTCGCCAGGCAGGAACTGGAGCGGCATGATGCCCATTCCCACCAACTGGTTCTTGTGCAGCTTCTCAAAGCTCTCGGCGATGACGGCACGTACCCCCTGTCGACGGCAAAGAAGCAGGTGAGCAGCGAAAGCAAACTTGGGAAAGGTTACCAGCGAATTAATTAATCTTTCATTGCAAGAAGGTTTTAAATGATTTGGTTTAATATGTCAAGCTCTTGGAAAGTCAGGTGAAGTGAAAACAAAGTGTAACTTGTTGCCTATCATGTCGTCTGGTCAGTGAAAAGTGTTGTGTGAGTGTACAGCAGTTTACCATCAGGTATGGTCCTTTGGCTACCCAGTCCCTGGAGTTTCCAGAGCCATAGTCTTTGCCTGCCAGGATGATGAGGGGGATGCCGTCTCTCTGATAGCGCTCAGCTGCCTCGAAGACATCCAGCTGATCAAAGACAAACAGGAAGAGGACATATTAGGAGACATTATTAGGAGAAGGTCAGAAATTGCAAAAAACAGTAACTGACAATGTTAGACACACACAATGCTACAACAAACATCACAAGTCTGACCATTGTAACAGCCAGCTTTTGCAGGATTAGTGTTTCTATTACCCGATATGTAAACAAGTACACAAATGAATCCACCTCTGGGTTACTGATCTTAAAAAGTTCACACTCACCGTCTGGCCTGAAGGAATGTGCAATGTCTTAGGGCCTGGTTTGCCGATGAATCTATTCTGGAGCTTGATGCTGGCAAACGTGCCTCTGGTCATCACTGCGTCGTTCCCTCTGCGAGCGCCGTACGAGTTAAACTCCCGCGGCGTCAGGCTGAGGGGAAATATTCAAAGTGAGATGTTATTAAATTTGCATTTGTGCAGCCATAAACAGAAACAGTGTAAAGTAACAACACTTCCTTTGTCTACCTGTATATGCATCCATCATTCACATTATATCTTTAAATACTAATTTAATTTAAATAATTTACAAACTTAATTTAATTCAGTTTTTGTTCTATTTTTGCCACAGAAAACTGGGCTTCTAAATCTAATATTTCTTGGATAGGCACCATCTTTTCCAACACTTGCTAGAAACGTTTAAATAAATAATAAATTTCACTGTTCCAACGAGCAAGACAAGCTATCGCCTGTGAGCAGCCAAAAATGTAGTCTTGCTTAATTTAGGACGGTGATGAGGATGCTGTGTCCATGCCATGCAATAATCTGAATATAATGTGCATCATCTCCTCAGTCAGAATCTAATATTCCCCCATCCAGACTTCTCAATGAAATAACACTTTGTTATAAACAGTGGTGGAACAGAGCAGCTAACAAATGGACCCTGTTGTGAGACTGTTTCATCAGTACTGGTGAGATTTGTTGGTGAAGATTCTCAGTCATCCAGGTCATGGTAATCCTGAGGGCTATATCGTAGGCAACTGGACTTGCTTTAGTTACTTCAAGACGTTTACCTCTCATCCAAAAGGCTTCTTCAGTTCCAGAACTGAAGAAGCCTTTTGGATGAGAGATGAAACGTCTTTTAGAGACTCAAGCAAGTCCAGTTGCCTACGATATAGCACTTAGGATTATCTGTTCATCCTGGTGTCTGATAGTAAACTGACCGTTTGCTCAGCAGGTACTTGGCAGCAGCGCTGACCCTGGCGATGCTGCCCGCTGGTGAGATGTGGTCCGTGGTCACTTTGTTCCCGAGGAACAGTAAGACATGAGCATTCTCTATCGACTGAGGAGGCTGCACCTCTTTACTCTGAGACAAAAGACAAGCAGAGGACACTTATTGTCTAGACTGCTGTTGTTTTTATCCCTTCAATGTGTCAAATCCAAAGACATGGCAAAATAACAATTACCACAAAGGCTGAGAGACTCACCAACTTGCTGAAGAAAGATGGCGAACGGATATATGTGGACTTGTGATCCCAGGGGAAAACCACAGAATCTGGACTGTCAATGTTTTTCCAAAGTGCGTTCCCCTTCTGAAGAGAGTGGGCACAAAAACATTCATATCATCATTAATTCATGTGATTTGGGAGAAACTGACATTAGGCATGAAAGAGAGATTGTGCCCTGACCTCCATCCTTCCCCTGAGATCCCTAAAAATGGAGGAGATGACTGTGTCCTCTTCAGTCTGTTGGACCTCCTCCCTGGACGGCCAGATATCACAGAGGAACACCTCCTTCCCCTCTGAAGTCACACCTGCATCAACAACAGGATGCTCAGTGTTTGCACCACGAAAACAATAAACACATCTGCTCAGTTTGATAAATAGTCTCAGGTTTTGTTCTTTAGGAAGCAGAACTTAGAAGTGTTTAATATACAAGTGTAATATCAAAGAAAACTCCTCAGCTTGAGCCTTAAATTTTGTTTAATGTCTGTTAAATTCACTCCCATCACTACCAGATAACACAGTGCTTTAGACCCTGAACTATCCACACTGCTCCTTTGTCATCTCTTCTATGGCTGCAGCATGTCTGCACAAGATGCTGAGTCACTAAATGTTCGCTCACTGTAATCAGCCAAATTCCTAAAATCCTGTAATGAACCTCAGGTTTTAGTGCCGCGGCTTTAGAGAGCTCCTGACGTGTGTCTTTCTTACCCAGAGGCTCTTTCTCAAAGTCGATTCCCACAGTGCCTGCAAGAGCATACGCCACCACCAGGGGAGGGGAGGCCAGGTAGTTGGCACGCACGCAGTCACACAGGCGGCCTTCAAAGTGCCTGTTTCCAGATAACACACCGCAGGCCACCAGGTCCCCCTAAAACACAAGTAACCATCAAGATTTAGTCACTGAGAGATGCACGCAGAAATTATGAAGATTAGCATTACGAAGGTCTTACCTGTTTGATTGCATCTACGACAGCTTCAGGTAACGGAGCTGTGTTCCCTACACAGGTGGCACAGCCATAACCAATCACCTCAAACCTGTGACATCCAGAAAAACACACTGTTGTTGTGTGTAGGAATTTAAATATTTGGACGAACCCTAACCCACTTTTACACACAAACTATAATTATGACAAGGGATGATTACAAGTTTGAACACATTTTACCTTTTCAGACCACACTGCTGTTACAGGTTAGTAATTTAAGGGTTTATTAAGTGAAGATTTCCACATCACCAACTCAGTCTCTCTCTACGTAAGAACTACCTGTTTTAAGTTCGATGTCAACTAAATATTTCCACACGGTAACTGTCACATGTAAATGTTGAGTAGCCTACAGAACCAAATAACAAAACTTTAACGAAACGGTAAATGGACTGCACTTGTATAGCACTTTTACACTATGTCACATTCACCCATTCACACACTGGTGGTCGAGGCTACCATTCATGGTGTCACCTGCTACTCAGTAACCACTCACACACTCTCACACACTGATGGAGCAGCCATCAGAAGCAATATGGGGTTCAGTATCTTGCCCAAGGGGATCGGGGGATCGGGGGATCCAACCGCTGTCTTACAATTAGTGGACAACCCGCTCTACCTCTGAGCCTCAGTCACCCCTAGCTTGTTAATATATGACCCATTTATCCTCCTGAGACCCTGCGTCCTCATATGAGGACATCACATTTTGGGTTTACTTGACTTTATACTTTATTCTACTTAAAGGGATAGTGCACCCAAAAATGAAAATTCAGCCATTATCTACTCACCCATATGCCGATGGAGGCCCTGGTGAAGTTTTAGTGTCCTCACATCCCTTGCGAAGATCGGCGGGGAGAGCGGTTAGCACACCTAATGGCAAACGGCGCCCCAGACTAAAGTCCAAGAACACAAAATTGAATCCACAAAGTATCTCTAACATGCTCATCCGTAGTGATCCAAGTGTGCTGCAGCCCCGACATAAAAAGTTGTTTCGAAAAACGTCATTTGAACTCTGTTTTTAGCCTCACTGTAGCCTGTAGCTCTAACTGCTTCTCTGTGCACCGAGCTCACATGTGCGCGCTCAGAGTGATCGGTGCTGCACGGTCTCTGAAGAGCAGCAGTCTCGTCAGTACTGATATCCAGATTCTCAAGTGCAGGCATCGCCAATTCCCAGTCTGAGCAGCAAAGACTTTCCTCATCCGTTGGCACTGCTTAGCATTTGAAACAACTACACCACCAGGTTTCCAGTGCTGGACTCCGGTATTCTGTGGCTGGCTGAGGGTTAGGCTCATGAGCTGCGGCGGCTGCTTCGTCCAGTAGCCTGAGTTCAGTCCGTATACTCGGGCTCAAACAGATACGGCTCAACAAAGAAATGCTGTTCCTCCTCAATTTCAAAGTCTTCAGACATGTTGGGCTGTCCTTTGCTAAAAGACCGTAGTGCAAATTATCTTTTAGCTACTGTGGTTACTGCTGTCTCCCACTGAGGTGCACGTGTCACGTAATGTAAACATGGGTAAGCAAAGCTCATGCTTTCGCTGGTCTCGCACAAGCACGTACACATGAATGCGGAGCACAGAGAAGCAGTCAGAGCTACAGGCTACAGTGAGGCTAAAAACAGAGCTCATATGATGTTTTTCGAAACAACTTTTTATGTCGCGGCTGCAGCACACTTGGATCACTATGGATGAGCAGTATGGAGATACTGATAATTTTGTGTTCTTGGACATTAGTCTGGGGCGCAGTCTGCCATTAGGTGTGCTAGCCGCTCCCCCCGCCAATCTCCGCAAGGGATGTGAGGACTCTAAAACTTCACCAGGGCCTCCATCGGCATATGGGTGAGTAGATAATGGCTGAATTTTCATTTTTGGGTGCACTATCCCTTGAACTCAAACCTGCTGAAACTTGTTTTTTTATGATTAATGATGTTTGTAGTTTGATATGGCAACAAATTTGACCAATTTGAGCAACAGTAACAAGATAAGACAATGTTAATTAGGAAGTACTTGTTTGAGGACACTGGGACTTAATTATTGTTGACAATGTTTAGTTTTTCATACTTATTGGTTCCTACTGATCCCAAATAGCTAGGAGAAATTAAAAATGCATACCAAACAAAAGTTCAGGTCTCAGGAAGTTAAACTGAAGAGTAATAATTATCTAGACTGGGAGGTTTTAAAAAAACATTTCACAAAAATAACACAACATTCATCAAAACACAAAATATTGCAGTAATAACATGAGACTTTCACAGTGAAAAAGCACCACAAACCACATCCTCTAACTTTTTTACTCTGAGCAATGTTTGACCTTAATTTTTGTAAAGTGCATGTTGCTCTTAACTCCACAGTGTGTGCGGGTTCACCCCAGGTCGTTGACATGGTGTTCAAAGGGCAATTGTGTGTGTGTGTGTGTGTGTGTGTGTGTGTGATAGAAAGAAAGAGAGAGAAAGAGAGAGAGAGAGATAGAGATAGAGAGAGAGACTGTGTGCACATACTTACCCCAGCTGGCTAAAGTAAGGCAGGACTCCACTGGTATTGAGGTAGTGAGTGACCATGCCACTTCCAGGAGCCAGGCTGGTCCGTATATAAGGCTTGACAACAAGCCCAGCCTCCACAGCCTTTTTGGCCAACAGACCTGTCAATCACAAACAGCTGTGTTACCCAAATGTGCCTGTAGTAAGCAGCCACACAGAGAAGTAGATAGAAGTTAAGTATCACAAAGCAGCATAAGGCCCTGGTCAGACAGAGCAGGTTTTAGCAACCTGGGCTAGTTTTTGTAATTTCCAGGAACACCCTGACCACCTCGAGCTGAAAAACTATAACTCAGTGAGGAAAAGGACCTGACTTCATTGGTGTTTTTCCCACTGTCCTGTCAGATGAATTGAGAGGGGGGCATCTGTGGTGGTGATGACAACAAGTGGGAGCGTACAGTGTTCAGCTAACGTTTCATCGTCGCCATTTACCAACCATACTGTACGGCCTGTTGATTGACACCTGATAGAACTGTCCTGACTCATCCTAAAAAACCTGTGTATTGACCATGATCCAGGCGAACCTCCTGGACCAGCTGGTGGCACTCCCTGTAACCTCTGCCTGTCCTTTTTTTTTTTTTGCCGATTTTAAGGTACAGATCTGTCAGTTTACCTCACAGCAAAGTAGTGGTTGAGCTAAGGATAGGTGATTTTGTGTTTGCCTAGCAACAATTTAAAGAAAGATGCAGCAACCTTCCAAACTCTGTCTGATTGTGGCATAACACTTTAAATGAGTAACAGAAAAGATTGCAGCTTTAATTAGATTTATGGTTAAAGGATGTAGTGAAATAAAGCAGAATTTTACAATCCACCATTTAAAATGTGAAAAGAAAACAATACAAAAAGATTAGTTGACAATATGCTCCAAAAAATGCCAGTCAGAGGTTTGTCTATCCCACATGTTCAGTAGACTTTAACACACAAGAACATTTTCAGAGTGAATCTGATCCTGATCTTGTGGCTCAGTCCTTTACCTGCGGTCAGCATGACAGACGGGTTGCAGTTGTTGGTGCAGCTGATGACAGCAGCGATGACCACCGAGCCGTGGGCCAGCTGATACTCCTGACCACAGTGCAGGAAAGGAATCCGCGTGTCCTGCTTCTCCTTTGAGATATGGAAGCCTTTGAAGCCCACCTGCAGGCAAACCAAATAACAAAATCACTGACATGTTAGATAACACTCAGCTATCAGGTGACAAAAACATGTACAACCATGCATCATCAGCATCTCCATGAACGAAGTCAGCAGTGTCTGAGGACTTAAGTACCATGAATATGAACGTTTTATTGTGTTTCTTTTTTTTGTAGATTACCTTCTCATTAAGACAGCTCTGGAAGTCTTCTTTCATGCTGCTGACAGCCACTCTGTCCTGAGGCCTCTTCGGTCCGCTCACATAGGGCACTATGGAACTCAGGTTGATCTCAATCACCTGCAGAGATGAAGAATGGTTTTAATTTCATTTTTATTATGAAAATCACTTCCTCTTCTGTTTTGGAAAATACAGCTACAAGGAAGCACTTCTAACAGACATTACACAAAAGATGGGAATTAAATTAAATTATTTAATGTGAAATGTAAGAATGTTCAAAAATTACATAAAAAAACTGATCTTTATATCATAAATATATCTATCTATGATATCTGCGTATCCTGTGACAATTCACCACAAGCTCTGACACATACCTCAGAGTACTGGGGATCTTCAGAGGCGTCTTCATAGCTTCTGAAAAGTTTTACAGCCTTCATGTAAGCCTCCAGCAATTCAAGTTTTTCCTGGGTAAAATCTGCATGGAAAATTATGACATGTTAGTTACCAATCTAGAAAATGCTGTGACAGAATCTGCTGCTGTACATAACTCTTAATAAACAGTATAGCTTGTGCCGACTCACTTGTCTTTTTAAAGTGCTTAAGTGTGACTTGGTCGACGGGGAAGAAGCTGACAGTGGCGTTGTACTCTGGGCACATGTTGGCGATGGTGGTTCGGTCAGGAGCTGACAGCTGCGATACACCAGGTCCAAAAAACTCTACAAACTTTCCAGCGATGCCAGCTTGCCGCAAGTGCTGGAAAATAAATGCAAAAGATACATTAGTACAAACTTGCATTGTACATTGATTTATGTGCTGCATTTATTGATTCCTTCATTTCAGTTTCGATTCCTGCAGTGATAAACTTGTGCTTGTCAAGCTTCTTTTTAATGATTCCGACTGGGAAATCACAGTTTCATTTCCTCACTGTAGTGACTAAGAATTTGTAAATACCATAGTCCATTTTGTGTGTATGAATGAAATCTTTAGAGCAGAGCGTTGTTACCTTTGTGATGCCGAGGACGATGTCTATGGAGGTTGTCAGAGGGTTGATGGAGCCCACCAGTTTACAGCCCACCACCTGAGGCAGAGTCAGAGACACTGGCTGGCCCAGCATCACAGCTTCTGTCTCAATTCCCCCGACACCTGTTGGAGTAAAGCGCAGACAAACACAACATTTAATCAACTTGCCTGGTTGACAAAGTTGCCAACAAATATGTCAAAAACAAGTAAGAACTCTAAAGTTTAAAAAAATGTTTTACCCCAGCCCAGGATGCCCAGGCCATTGATCATGGTGGTGTGTGAGTCGGTTCCCACCACACTGTCAGGGTAGATGAAGTCGTCGGTGACCTGAATCACCCTGGACAGATACTCTAGATTCACCTGGTGGACTGCACCAACATCCGGAGGAACCACGTTCACATTCTTAAATGCTTTTGAACACCACTGTTTAGTTGACAGACAGGAAAAGAGCAACAGTAAGAAAAACATTTAACTTTCTGTCTCAGTCAAGGGACAGTCATTGTTTTATTTTCTGTTCTCTAAGGGCCCTGACACATCAGCCGACTGTTGGCCATCAGTGAGCATCTGTCGCGCTAGTTTTTGCAGTGTGTCCTGCACCACTGGCTAATCGTATTTTGTCGGCTGTTTTTTGGCCGATTCAGCATGTTGAATCGGCAGTGGAGATGTCAGAGATGGTGAATAAGATACGAAAGGATTCAAGTCAAGAGGGCTTGAGATTGAAGCAAACTTGTTATATTAAGTAAGATTATTTTTAAGCCGGCAGACGCAACACATACGTGCAAGTTGCCCTGTGGTCTCTGTGGTGTGTTCAGTGCAACTTAGGCGTCGTGTGGCAATGCAACAGTCTACCTTCATCACCACTAGTTCTTTGGTGTTGGTTTGGTGTGTCTTAGCCTCTAAGTGCACAGATACCAATTTTTCATTTCCATTTTTCATTGAAATATACAGAACAATTCCATGATGAGGACTGCACTGAGTACTCCTTCAAATTCCACCTAATCTTATTCCAAACAAAATGAATTCAGAGGTGGTAGTTGGCCTTCTCAACCAGAGCGTAAACATCTTTTCCAAAATCTCAAAATATTCCTATTAGATATGTGTCTCCCTCGGATTGTCTGATATAAAATCATAAAAATAGATTTGCTTTTTGCTGTACCTTAAAGAACTGGAGCCTCTCTTTGTTTCTGATCAGTTCCATTTCCTGATTCTTCAGAGCTGTTTCAGGTCTGCAGAAAAGAGAACAATTCACCAGTGAACATGCTAAAGAGGAAGTCTGGGCCAATCTGACAATATATTGTCAGTTAGACCTGTTTAAAAGGACTAAAACAAAGTAGTGACGTGTTTTTGGTCTGAATCTAGAAATATTTTCACTGCTGTGTGTCACACTCACTCTGACACTGGCTGCAGGTGGAAAGGGCAGAGGAGAGGCGTATTCTCGATCTGCTGGACAGATGCTGCAGGTCGACCTGGGGAGGCTGGAGGGTCACTGCAGGCAGCTTTACTACACGAGCCCCGCTGGCCCCCACAGTGAGAGCCTCGCCTGGAGGGTGCGGAACGGGAAGGACCCTGGCTCTGGTTTGGGCCGTCCCCTCCACCTGGGTTTGGAGCATTCTGTATGGCACTGTGGGTAAAAAAAATAAATGTGATAATTAAGGAAACACAGCAAAAACTAGCGAACTCTCAGTGATTCAGCTAAAATAAGCTAAAACATATGAATGCAAACTCACCATTTGCTATAATCAATCTGTAATGAGTGATCTACGATGAGGTCTGTGGGGCATTTGGGGTTGACCAGGCTGGGATCCACGCCATGTTTGGCCACAGCGTCCCTCATGGCTGCCAGGTCCACCATGGCAGGAATACCACTGTCAAAGAAAACCAGGGGAAGAAAAATAATCAAACCTAACAGTCCTTTAAGGATTTATGGAAATATTCTACTTTTATAACTGAATATATTATAATTAGAATCATTTGTTCATGTCAAAGAAAGCAAAGAAAGATCGTGATGACACAGGAGTCAGCCGGCTCCTGGTGGATCAGCTGTTTTTACCAAAATCCTTGTGAAACTCACGTGAAGTCCTGGAGAAGGACTCGCGCTGGAGAGAACGGCACCTCGGCTTTATTCTGCTGCTGCTGCCAATCTTGAATGTTCTGGACGTCTTCTTGTTTTGTGTAAAAGCCATCGCAGTTACGGATTGCTGCCTCCAGTAAGACACGGATGGATAGAGGCAGCTTGTCTATACAGAGCAAACAAAGAAAAATTTAATTTCCCACAGCAAACAATATATAATTAAATCTAATTGTTCATTAAGTATTCACTGTCCTTATTAGGTAATTGTCAATTGGACGTGCACTGAGGACTTGTGAGGGCCATGAAGTGTTAAACCAATGCAGGCTCTCTGAGGTTAATCCAACAATTACCGTCATCTACAGGAATATTCACAGGTGTTCTTTAAGACTGCTGTTTACATACAATAATCAGCCAAAACATTAAAACCACTGGCTGGTGAAGTGAATAACATCACTGTAACATCATTTTGTTACAGTGCAATGTTTTGCTGGGAATCCTTGGCACGCACCATCAACCCAAACACTATTGCAGATCAAGTACATCTCCTAACGGCCCCCCAATGCATCAATGCAATGCAACATGCCACACCATAAAAACTGTTCAGGAATGACTTGCGGAACGTGACAAAGAGCGTGACTGGGATGTGGGAAATCTGGGGGCTGGTTGAAACCTTGAGCCCTTTGTCACATTCCTCGAGCCATTTCTGAAGTTTTTACGGTGGGCAATGGGAGTTCGGAGGGGTGTTTGGGGGGTGGAGTGTGTCAAGTACCATCAACATGATGTCAGGACCACAGGTTTCCCTGCAGAACATCGCATGGTAACAAGATCATCAATGCAATTTCCTTGACCTGTCAGGGATTTTTATGTTTTGGCTGATTGGTGTGTGTTCCTCATGACCTTTGTGTGCATGTTTACACTGCTATCCTGGGACACACCTGTGGTAAACACCACTTTATTCTGTGCTAGCACAATATACTGATAGATTTTTCTGTTGTGTCCATATAAAGAAAATAGAGTTGCAGTCTGAAATGTATCATTTAATAAGTTCAGTTGACCATTTGTCTAGCAATACACACAAAGAACATGTTCAGCTATGTGGCCTTCACGATGAATTGAATGATACATTACAAGGGGGATGATATGATACAAGAGGGAATATGTGTATAAACATGTGCCCTTTCTTTTAGTGAGAGGGCCTGAACTCACCATATCTTGGATCATTTAATTTCTGTAGATTGAAGAACTTGATCCTGCCATCTTTCAGTGTGTCGATTAGATGACTATATGGGTGCTCTGCAGAGGAAAAACAAGCACTTATTAATACAACTGTAATTCCCTTTACAAGTGTAAATAGATAAATATGATCACTTCCAATCAGATTTTTTTGCCTCAACATGTCTGACTGCAGGTTGGACAGGTTTACTCTGGGAGATTATAAAAACAGATGCAATAAACAAATGTTTAACTACGTGATTGGTGACACTTTCCCAGCAGAGATCTCAAAGTTCAAGTAAGGAGTAGGCTTAAAGGGACAGTTCACCCGAAAATCTTACCTGTAGTGCTGTTTATCAGTCTAGATTGTTTTGGTGTGAGTTGCAGAGTGTTGGAGATATTGGCTGTAGAGATGTCTGCCTTCTCTCCAATATAATGGAACTAGACGGCATTCAGCTTGTGGTGCTCAGAGTGCGGGGAGGAAAAAAAAAAACTCAACAGCAATGTCTCTCTCCAGAAATCATGACCCAGTTACTCAAGATAATCCACAGACTTTGTTGTGAGCAGTTTCATGTAGGAACTATTTTCTTTCTACCAAACTTCACAAGCCAACCAAATCTCTATGCAGAAGGAAACGTGCATCTACTCATGGACGAGAGGCTCATGTAAACATTAATGGTGTCCTCCTCGGCTAAGCAGTATCATTAGTTAGCTCAGTGGTGCTAGTTGAGCTAGCAGTAGATGCACACTCCCTTCTGCATGGTGATACAGTTCAGTAAAAAGCAACAGCTCCTACATGAAACTGCTCCCAACAAGGTCTGTGGATTATCTCTGTTAAGAGACGTTGCTGTTGAGTTTTTCAAATGAATTTGTTGGCACTTTGAGCACCACAGGCTGAGTGCCATCTAGTTCCATTATACTGCAGAGAAGGCAGACAACTCTACAGCTGATATCTCCAACACTCAGCAATTCACACCAAAACAATCTAGACTGATAAACAGCACTACAGGTAAGAGGAAAAATATGTATTTTTGCTTTTGGGGTCTCTTTAAGGCATCTCTAAGAAAATGGCAGGAGACCTCCTCAATTTTTCTGTGGCATGTGTGCACTTAGAGCATCCAAAGAGTTGGCTTATGACACACTATATTGTGTTAGTGGTTATAAGAAGCTGGGCGGTTGCTCTCAAGAACAGCCAAACTTTGAATTATCTTAGTAAGTGCCTTGGAGAATGTAACAATAAAAAATTGACAGTGCATTATGGGGCAAAATACAGAATAAATGCCAAGGGAAGAAAAATGAAAATGATCTCTCTGGTTTCATTTCTTCCTTTTAACTATATTGAAGTGAGCTTGTGCAGGATGTGGTTACCTTAACCAAGATGGTTTTGTACCAGATTAGCACTTCATGACAGTACAGACTCAACGGTTTGGGTCAAAAGACAAGGCTGTTGCTGTTTAATGCTGATGTTCTCCTTTGAACTTTGTGTAGAAACTTGGCTAAGCAAGTGCTGAGCCCCTATGGTAAGAAAATTATTTTGTGAATCTTGGCACCGCGCTATTCACTGGTCTCACAACAGGTTATCATGCTGTAACATTGGCTCTCGGGTTACTGGCTTTGAAAGCCACACTTTTGTGATGATTATGAAACTGCATACATCGCACCACACTCAAATATGAATTGTGTAAAATAATTTCATACTGTATTTCTTTAAAATGTGTTATATTTCTGGTTTCCCAAATCCTAAACATGTATTTACTGAATAAATACAAAGTGGAAGAATGCTCTGATGCAACCCTGCCGCAATCAGTCCATCACGAAGGCATGCAAAGGTGAAAGTCAAAGGAAAAGATGTCACCAAACATTTCAGAGAACTGGTTTAGTCTAGTTTAGAGTTTTACAAATTTGATAATAAACCAGTGTGAATGACGCACTGGGGGCTTCGTATCATCTTCATCTGCAGTACTTCCTCAAAACATGTTCACAAGTGGTGGGGCACTGCAGCAAGAGCATTATCACTGCTGCCAGAGAAGACAGCAAAATTATATAATTTGGCTCAACTTAACTAAACTGGCATAAACCAGTTTTAAACAAAGCAGAGTCAAATATTGTCTTAATAAGAGTTTGTGCTCTTGACTCCACTGCAACCTATTTTGTAGCTAAATTATTAAAAACTGCTGATGAAGAATTTGGCATCATATGTTTATATGAATTTTCCTTTCATTACTACTGCAATCAATATAATGATTAAATATTAATATCATAATTTTATTTTCCCTAAACTTTATACTGTTACTTGTTTTTGCCCACTCATCCACCTCTGCACATGCTCCTATTTAGTGCACATTTGTGTGTATGTGTATGCTTGTGGGTTTGTGTGTGTGTTGGCATGTGTTTACTTGTTTTATGTATTACATCATTTGTGGAGATGTGTGTGGGTGTGTGTATATGATATGGTACTTGTTAAAATGCTAATGGCAAGTCTAAATTGGCAGCTAGAGGGAGACTTAGCTATGACTACTTGACCCCCAGATATGTATATGTGTACCGTGTTGTATGATGCTATATGTTGTTTTGTTATTTGTCTTCACCTCCTGAGACCCTGAATCCTCATATGAATACATCACATTTTGGGTTTACTTGACCTTATACTTTATTCTACTTAACTTAGACCTGTTGTCCTCATTCGTGGACACTTTTTGTGCCATGTAGTGGACGTAAGACCGCAACACACTAATCCATGTAAAAAGAGAATGGAAGCCATCTCTGCCAAGTCAGTCTGCAGCTGACCCCAACACAAAAGTGGACAAAACCTGATCACATTTTATGGTTGAAACTTGTTTCTTTATGATTAATAATTTTTGTAGTTTAATATGGCAACAAATTTGACAAATTTTAGCAATAGTAACAAGCTAAGACACTGTTAACTGGGGAGTACTTGCTTTAAGACTTCAGGCTTTATTAAAGTCTTGTTTGAGGACATTAGGACTAAGTTATTGTTGAAAGTGTTTAGTTTTTTGTACTCATCATGTCCTACTGATCCCAAATAGCTAGGAGAAATTAAAAATGCATACCAAACAAAGGTTCGGGTCTCAGGAGGTCAATAGAATAATAATAATGACAGTAAGCAGAAATGCTCAGTCTCTGTGGAATTTGGTCTGATGATACACAGTCAGCTTGCAGATCACTCCCATGTTTTGAACATAACAACAACATAACCTCACATTTCCCTGCCTCACTGTGATGCTTTTGTCAGCTAGTGTTTTAAAATAACTGTATGCAAACACTGACCCAATGCAGAGCAGACTGAATGTAAAACACACAGTATCATGTAGACTACTTGCAGTACAAGAAAAACACTGGGTGCCCACTTGTGAGATCCTGTGGAGATATAACCTGATGTGAACCTGTTTTCACTGGTTAGACATGCCTGCTGAAAATGCCCCATTATTGTTGGGCAACATAAAGGTCAAATAGCACAGAGGTAATGCTGCACTATCAAACGGGTGGGTGCGTGAACAGACAATGTCATTGTCACTATGGCCTATATTAATCACACTATTATGAGATCCGTTACCTGATGACATTAAAAGCAACCCTTGTCTTGTTACACAATAACATCAACTGTAAAATCACACACTGTAACGGCAAGCTAATATAATAAGTGGTGATGACAGTGCTGTTTGCGGACATCCTCATGAGTTAAATCATCTGTACATGTGTCCTGACGACAAGGTAAGGAAGGCAGCTACAAAGCTAGCTAGCACTCGTCCTTATCGTGAAGCACACTCTAGCTAGCTGAGTCCTTATCGTGCGACTGTCTGAACGTCTTGACGAGATAAATCAGGCCATTACAACACAATTAATGCTTTCCTAGAAAGTGTAGTGTCCTTATGAGCGTGGCAAAGCCGCCTCTAACCCGCTAATTTAACGGCTCTCTATTAGTAGTGGAGCAAACACTAACGTTACCAAGCTAGCTAATGTTAGCTTTAATGTCCCCAACACTGTTTGACGCCGGTTCACTTTATGTAATATTGACTAAAAACAAGCGACAGCCATTTTATGAGCAATGTCGTCTTTCTTTAATCGATTCATGTCTTCATAGGTGCTCAGCTGATCGGATAACGGCTCGCTAGGTAAGGTTAGCAGAAGACACCTCTTTACCTTTGACTGGGGAAGTGAGCGCCATGATGACTTCTGAAATCAACACGACCCGTTCTCACGACTGAACTGGCAGCACCGAGCCGACCAATCAGAGGGCGGGGGTCTGAGGACACGCCCACCCATCGGTGACTGCCAAAATAAAAACATTATAAAACAGAACATCATAAAGATGGAGCCATTTAATAGATAAGTCCTGTCCTCAATGAACTCTCTGCAACACTGAATAACAAAGTGCAATATATCTGTTTTATGGTTGAACATATTGTTTTACTCTTTGGGAAATTATGCATGTATGTTAACTTGTTTTAATCTTAGGGAAATTTTAAATTTCAGTCCCAAATTTTAAGTAGTTTTTGACTGAAATTAAATGCTATTTTGAGTCTCTGAAATATGTAGCCTCGCGTCACCAGGCTCTTCACATAAAGTGAAAGAGCCTGGTTTTTATCCACTCTGAATTTTGTCTGGATTCTGGTTCCGGTCTAGAGAGCGGATGCAGAATTCACCAAATTCACCAAAGTAAAAGTGTTCACCAAAGTAAAACTTTAAATTCTGGCACACCATCGATTTGGGGTGATGAGGGGTGTAAGAAAATCGATTAACTTAATGGCTTGGAGCTTTTCTTGAAAATTATATTCTTTAAATTAAAAGTTTCACCGCATTTTTATTAGCTTGGTGCTTTTATTTTGACGGAAAAGCGCATCTATCCATTTAACTTACAAGAAATCACTCACCCATTGTCAGATGTGGCTGTAAACCAAGGGAAAATGTAGTCAGTGGCCCTTTAATTATTATTTATTTGTTTGTTTGTTTTTGGGTATAATAATAATGACAAATAAAATAAATAAATAAATAAAAGTAATAATAGAAATATCAAATGTGATTGCTAATTTGTGGGTAAAGCTTTTGTACATGTTTATGTGTATTTTTCATTAATACCAATTATATTTTATCTTTTTTATTTATGTGTGTTCCCTTTATTTTACTACTCAGTTTGGTATTATCGTTGCTCATTTATCACATATATAAATATCTTCTTCTATTTTTTGCAAGCAGTATAAGGAAGAGCAGATTATTAAGTTTCTTAAAGGTAATTCTTTTTTTTTTTAAATTCAGTCCCATATTTTAAGTAGTTTCTGACAGAAATTGAATGCCATTTTGAGTCTCTGAAATTTGTTACAATTTTTCAAAAAAAAAAAAATCCTTAAGATTTACTTACTACTACTACTACAAATAAATGATCCTTATCTATTATTTATTACTATTATTTTTTATTTATTTTATTATCATTTTTTTGCCAATTACTGGTATAAGGATAATAATAATGACAATAGATAAATGAGAGTAATAATAAAAAAATCAAATGTGAAAACTAAATTGTGTATAGCCTTTATATATGTTTATGTTTATTTAATTTCATTCTTTTAATCTATGTGTATGTTTATTTTATTTTACCACTTTGGTATTATCTTTGCTCATTTACCACATATATAAATATCTCCTTATATTTTTTTATACAGGCAGTATAAGGGAGGGGTGGGAGAGTGTCAAGGAAAAAGGCTTGTTATCGAATGTTCTCTTTTTGTCAAAAATATGGTATAAGAAAAGATATCAAATGTGCATTCGTGTATTAGCCTACTGAAACGATGCTGACATTGTATAAAAGTAAAATAAATGAATGAAAATAAAATACCTAAAATACAAAATTAATCAGGGCCTAAACCAAAAGGTGTGTATGGCAACATTCTTTGGTGATCATGTACACAACAAAATAGATTTATGAACATTGCTGCATAGGCTTCTTCTTTTTTAAGATTTAGAATTTTGGTGTCCCAGGTTTGATTTGGAGTCAATGCACTGGTGCCAGTAAGATTAAAAGCATCCTTTACATTAGTACATTAGTTCACACTTTACAACAAAACAGAGGAGAAAAAGAGATATTTGAATTTATGGCCTCCAGAAAAATAAATATGATAAACAAAGAAAAAAAGAATGTATGACATCAATCTGAAATAAAAAATAACGGGCTGATTATTCTAAACCTTTGCCATAGTTAGTAAACACATACATGTTTGGGGTAAACATGACGCTACATGTCTCTGACTGTTTGTGACTTTAAAACTGCAGCTGCAAACATCCCACGTGACTGTGCAGTTGTGACTGTGCTGCCTTCAGGGAACCTCCGACCATATCTGTGCCGCATTCAAGTGACCTTGGTCAGAGACAAACTACTGTTATGTGTCCTGTAAAAACTGCAGTTCTTGTAGCTTGTGGAGAAAGATTTATAATCTGAAATATAAGGTATGTATCAAGTAAAATATTCTTTACAATATTGTTTTGTATTCAGATTCTTGATGTTTTCATTTGTTTTATATCTTCGTGTTCCAGATATCAGCGTTGGAATTTAACTAAGTACATTTACTCAGGTACTGTACTTCAATACAGTTATGAGCTAATAATCATATGTTATTTGTGTGTGTCCACCTGAAACATTTACTGCAATAAATTGTATAGAGAAATATTGTACTTGTAACCATTCATTTGTTTGACTGCTGTTTGTGGGTGTGTCACTGTGCACTTTGAGGTTTAACAAACAGAATCTTGTTCAGTCTATAACATATGATGCATGGTTATAAAATAAATTATTCGGCAGTGTATAAATCAGTTTACATTAGTCTTCTCAAAACAAGCTTAATCATTAAATGCATACATACTAATGCATTAGTTATAATATTAAAATAATTGTATGATAATGAGACTGACAGGGACGATTCTGCTGTGTAATGAGTGGTTTTTATACTTTTAAGTACATTTAGCTGTTGATACAGTATTTATATTTTTACTTCAGTGTGGTTATGAATGCATGACTTTTACTTGTAATGGAGTAATTATTATATTGCAGTATTCCTACTTTTACTTAAGCAAATTGTCTAAGCACTTCTTACATGTTTGGTGGAAACATGCACAGGTCCATTTTGAGATTTTGGGCTGTTTTGCTTTCAAACCATGTCCTCTTTCAAATTAATGGGGGGAAAAAAGTCCTGAATACACATGTAGGTGTTTATTTTTGTTCAGATTTTTGTTCTGGAAATGTCTTCAAAAAGCACAGATTGATTAAGATAATGCCTCATTTGCTTTTGTAAATATAAAATTCAAGAAAACTTGTAATCTGACCACTCAGCGCTTTTTACAGTATGAGTCACATTCAGCCATTCACACACACACATTTTTGAACCTGGCTTCATCCAGTGTTTAGATTTTTGTTCTGGAAATGTTTGCAAACGTGCACATGTTAAATTAGATAATGCCTCGTTTGTGTATTTAGAATTAAAATTAAAAAGTTCCATGGTGATATCTACTAGTAAAAACCCTTCTGTCTTATTTTTTGTCTTTGTAAAATACATATTTTTAAAGGCCATTTTCTCGTTAGGAGTTTTTTTTTTTTTTAAGTTGGTTCGTTTTTCGTCGTACTCTGAAACGGGTAGGTTTATTCCTGTCTATATCCTGAAGGGTTTTACCGAGGGGTTTATTCATATATCATCCATACCCTGATTTAAAGAACATTTTTAAAGGGCTGTTGACAGTATTTTCTGATTTATGGAGTCATAAAAAGAGATATCCAAAATACCCTTTATAAAAGCCTTTGACTCTAATATGAAAACAGAGTAAAACAAGAATTTGGAACCTGGATTTTTGTTCTGGAAATGTTTGCAAATTAGCTCAGATTAAATAACATAATGCCTTATTTGCATATTTAAACATAACACTTCAGAGAACTTGTAATATAAAAAAGAGTCTTAATGTAAATTAACGACTGTGGAAGTTCAATGGTGATATCTATTAGTTAAAAATGTATTTACTTATTTATTTGTATTGTGGTATGTGTACTTTAGTATGTGTATTGTGGTATGTCTGTTGTAGTAGATGTGTTGTGGGATATGTTGTGATGTTTGAACTGTGGTGTGTGTACTGTGGCATGTGTTCTGAGGTGTGTTATTGTAGTGTGTGGATTGTGGTTTATGCATTTTATTGTGCCTTCCATGTTTATTATGTACTGTTGTTGTAAACATATAATAACAACATTTTAGCACCACATCTAAAAGCCAATTAGGGACAAGAGTTGAAATTAGGCAACAGCTACAAACTCTGTGCAACACATCAGTCTCATACTCTGTGTTGGAAGTATGTTACATTGCATCGTCCCTGTCAAATAAATAAATAAATACATATATAACTGTATAAATCAATGCCCTTGTGTCCTAATTTTTTTTCTCTCCCTTAACGCTTTGTTTGCTCATAGGTTATTTGAAATTCCTACATTTGCATTGGACCCTGAATGCATCATGATCGTCAAATTCATCAAACCGTTAATGTTAACTCGCTAAGTTAATTAAACCGTTGTAGCGTTCAAATGGAAAAGAAAACAACGTTAAAACCGAGTGTTTTTAATCTATTAATAGTTAGTAATGTTAATAACAACACGCTGCAGTGAAGCACAACCCCTGACCTTTCACCTTTGACTGTGTTTGTTCGCAGCAGTAATGGACGGAAGACATGACCCACCTTGTAGCAGAGCAGGCCATGACAGTTAACCGTTACCGTGGAGGCGGAAGGTGAACCGGAGCTGAATGACCCTCTAACAGGTGAGTTTTATCGGTGTGTTTGGGTGAAAACTCAGACTTATTCCTCGCACAGCTGGCTCAGTGTCGCTCCTGTTGTTTAGCTAGCTAACACACAGCGCGAGAACACTGTGTGACATTGCACGTGCGTCTCTTCCCCCTTTCCTTCAGTAACGGCTGCAAAAGACAACAATAAAAATGGCCGAGTGGACTCTCACATGGCAGTGTTGTGAAACTGCCTCGCTGCTAGTGTGAAGGTGAAGTTGTAGATAAAGATAATCAGGGTTTTGGGTCGCTGTCATTGTGGCTCTACTCTGAACACCAGCTGCACTCAAGTTTTACGTTTCATTAGCAAACTAGTTCATGTAGTCAGACTTCCTCTATGTGTCCTGTTTTATTTTATAAGGTAACGTAGCATAAATGTTTTGTGTTGATACGGCCTGAGGCACCAACTTCTGCATTCTTCTCTGTTGGTGTTAGCTGGTAACAGGAAGCCGTTCAGGTCTGTCAGGTCCATCAGGTTGTGACTTGTTTACTTAAATGTTTACAGGTTTGTCTTTACACAAGTTAAACATCAATATTTCCTACTTTCTAATGCAGCAGTGGGTCACTGAATTAGCCCTGCAGGTATTTACTGAATGCATTTATGTACTTAGAATCCTGAGGCATGCATAATCTGCATAACACCGGCCACTTTATAAGGTACACCTTGCTAGTACCAGGTTTGACTCCAGTTACTGCAGATTTGACGGCTGCACATCCATGAAGTGAATTTCCCGTTCCATCCAGTGACTGTGGAGGCCATTGGAGTACAGTGAACTCATTGTCATGTTCAAGAAACCAGTTTGAGATGATTTGAGCTTTGTGACATGGTGCGTTATCCTGCTGGAAGTAGCCATCAGAAGATGGGGACACTGTGGTCATAAAGGGATGGACACGGTCAGCAACAATACTCAGGTAGGCTGTGGTGTTTAAACCATGCTCAGTTGGTACTAAGGGGCCCAAAGTGTGCCAAGAAAATCTCCCCCACACCATTACACCACCAGCAGCCTGAACCGTTGATACAAGGCAGGATGGATCCATGCTTTCATGTTGTTTACACCAAATTCTGACCCTACCATCTGAATGTGGCAGCAGAAATCCAGACTCATCAGACCAGGCAACGTTTTCCCAATCTTCTATTGTCCAGTTTTGGTGAGCCTGTGTGAAGTGTAGCCTCAGTTTCCTGTTGTTAGCTGACAGGAGTGGCACCTGGTGTGGTCTTCTGCTGCTGTAGCCCATCTGCTTCAAGGTTGGACGTGTTGTTGGTTCAGAGATGGTCTTCTGCAGACCTTGGTTGTAACCAGTGGTTATTTGAGTTACTGTTGCCTTTCTATCATCTTGAACCAGTCTGGCCATTCTCCTCTGATCTCTGGCATCAACAAGGCATTTTCACCCAGAGAACTGCTGCTCACTGGATATTTTCTCTTTCTGGGACCATGCTCTGTAAACTCTAGAGATGGTTGTGTGTTAAAATCCCAGTAGATCAGCATTTTCTGAAATACTCAGACCAGCCCGTCTGGCACCAACAACCATGTCACTTAAATCACCTTTCTTCCCCATTCCGATGCTCAGTTTGAACTTCAGCAGGTCATCTTGACCATGTCTACATGCCTAAATGCTTTGAGCTGCTGCCGCGTGACTGGCTGATTAACTATTTGTGTTAACGAGTAGTTCAACAGATGTACCTTAAAAAGTGGCCAATGAGAGTATATAAATTGAGCAACATTACCACAACAAGGACATACCAGTGTCTTGCAAATCAGCCTGCTCAGTTCAGGATTGCAAAGAGGATGTGAGAGAAATGATCCTGATTATTATGAGGACTCACAAAAAATTCAGTCTTAAATATGCAACAATAATGAAACTTAGCGAGGAAGTCTGTATATAAAAAAAAATAGAAACAACACTGAGTAATTAAAAAACAGCACATCAGCACAGATCATTGCCAGCTCCAGTTTTTTGATTAATTAACAGAATATATGTATATTTTTTTGTAATTTTTTCAAGAAAATATGCTCAAATTTAGTTTGTTTCAGCTTGTTTTATCTGAGAATTTGCCGCATGTGTGTGTCTTATAATTTTAAGTATGTGCTGGCATCTGGACAAAACAACACTTTATATTTTTCACGATATTCTAAAATTTACACACCAAATGATTGACTGATTAAGCAAGAACATAACTAGCAGATAATTAATAAGGGTAATAGTGGCAGGATGTTCATTACGCAAGAGCGAAAGTCCAAATTCTGAATGAACAAATATTTGGGTGAACCCAGCAGGTTCTTACGTCTGATCGCAGGATGTTTCTGATGCTGATTGCTCTCGTTTGCAGGTGTAATGGCAGTCAAAGGCCTGATGACGTGGCTCTAGCGGTGCAGCGCTGCCCTAGCTGGCACCATGCAGCAGAAAGGTGCAATCCAAATTATAGAATGGGAGGACCTGGACAAGAGGAAGTTCTACTCCCTGGGTGTGTTCATGACCTTGACCACCAGGGCCACCGTCTACCCGGCCAGCCTCATCCGCACTCGGCTCCAGGTGCAAAAGGGAAAGGCGCTCTACTCCGGCACCTTTGACGCTTTCTGCAAGATCCTGCGTATGGAGGGGGTACGGGGCCTCTACCGTGGCTTCATGGTCAACACATTCACTCTGGTCTCAGGACAGGCTTATATCACTACCTACGAACTGGTGCGTAAGTATGTGTCCCAGTACTCACCCAGTAACACGGTGAAGTCGGTGGTGGCTGGAGGATCCGCCTCCCTGGTGGCTCAGACCATCACTGTGCCCATAGACGTGGTGTCCCAGCACCTGATGATGCAAGGACAGGGGGAACACCTGACTCGCTTCAAGGCCAAACCCAAAATGATGCTGGCAACGACGAAGCGCAGACTGACTTTCGGGCAAACCCGTGACATTACGGTGCAGATATTTGCAGCCGATGGTTTCAGGGGATTTTATAGGGGCTACGTGGCATCGCTACTCACGTACATCCCGAACAGCGCACTATGGTGGCCTTTTTATCACTTTTATGCAGGTAAGTGGACACCAGTTTACAGTAGCTGTTCCAAGCTGCTACCTGCATGCCTGAAACCACAAATATATTGGCCTTACACTGTTCTTAAATTGTGTTCCCAGAGCAGTTGTCGTTGATGGCACCAAGTACGTGCCCCCATCTGATTCTGCAGGCTCTGGCAGGACCAATGGCAGCAGCAACCGCCTCCACCATCACCAACCCCATGGATGTTGTTCGAGCAAGAGTACAGGTAAACACAGAAACACACCACTGTGCACCACATAAAAGATTTAAGAGTGTGATTAGGAGTTTATGAACATTTTAAAAAGCTAGTTAATGTCTGCATTCACTTACCAGGAGCATTGTGGAAAAGATTTTTAGATCGCATTTAGACTTAGAAACTCCACAAGGCAGGATCTCTTCAGTTGCAGGGGGAAACTTCGGGATACAAAGACACATTTCACTGCATTTGCTGTGCTGTGATCAAGTCTGTCAGATCTGCATTGGACAACATGAGTTGACCTTACCCTGCATGTGATAAACAAGGACAATATTGACCAACTTTATTGGCCTAATTCCCATTACAGTGAAGTGATGACTGAGCAAGTGGAAGCTTTAATTAAGCTAATATAACATGAGGTTGTTCAGTGATAAAACCTGCTGCTGTGTGTTTAAATCAACAGTCTCTTTCCTCCAGCTGCATGAGTGAGCAAACAAAACTATCACAGATTTTTTTTAAGGTACACCAAAGAAAATATAAGACTCACTCAAGGGCTGACCTGAATACTTCAAGGCTTTAAAGCTCCAATTGTTGCCATGGCAATCTACGTCCACATCAGTACTTGAATGCTTCGCTTTTGTTTCATTTTTTTCTTTGAACAGAAAATCCCACATCCTGCTCTTGCTCAGCTTCACAGTTTATTAGTAACACTAATGTTAAGTCCTCCTGAAACTTTGTCAAGAGTGTTTAACCACTTTTCTGTTCAAAGACACAGGTGATATTTTCCAACACACCTGCATTTGAGACAGTTGGATGTGCGAATACCTTTCTTCAAACTTGTTTCATTGTTTCACCACTAATTTGGTGGCGGAAACAAAAAGAGGTGCAATTATTGACCCTCGCAAGATTGGCTGTCTTGCGAGGAAAAGGAACAGATGAGACGAATTGTGGACGGGTATCTGCAGCCGGCAGCTGCAGTGAAGTGCTTGGTTTGCATTTAGTGATGCACACCATCCAGCAGCATTAAGAACTTACTGAAAGTGTTAAGTCCTACCAAAGTTGAGTTGCGTTGGGGTGGTTGATTAGTGTAAATGAATAAACTTAATCCAGGATTTCAGTATTAAATTTGCACCACAGAAGCAGGCCCTCAGTGCAGGAATTCTCTCAGTTCCAAATACAGCTGAAGTCAGCTCTTTTTTTCTGTTGCTACACTTCCTCTAGTTCCTAACATGACTCGATAGTTCCTCAACTTGCTCCTGATTTTGGTGCAGTATCGGGCTGATTTTGGAGCTGATGTTTTTATAAAATTTACTGGCTTTCAGGCAAATCAGATTTGTTTTTCAGTCAGATCTTTGATTGGGTGATATCAGACTTATTAGAATTGTCAACTCGTCGCACTTTGTTTTCATCTGCAGTCGCCACAAAAGTTGAGATGAGAAAGTTCATTCTTGACCTTTAAAACAGCAACTAACAAAAGAATTAACATTTAATGTAACCATAAATGTATTAGTAAATAACAGATGATTTACCAGTCTCCTGTGTGTTAAAGGTGGAGGGACGATCGTCTGTCATTGAAACGTTCAAGCAGCTGCTGGCAGAGGAGGGCGTCTGGGCAATGACCAAGGGGCTGTCGGCCCGCATCATTTCCTCCACGCCCACGTCAGTGCTCATCGTGGTGGGATACGAGACACTGAAGAGACTGAGCTTGCGAGCTGAGCTTGTAGAGACCAGACACTGGTAAAACACCAGAGAGAACCAGGACAACCTCGTACTGTGCTTCACCTCTGCACAGCCCGGCAGGAACTTTTCACACAGGAGACAACGACCCAGATCCATGACCAGATCAGCCTTGGGGTAACTGCTCACCTGTTTAAGCTGCGTCCACACGCCTTGTTAGTTACAAGTGTTATAATCTTGCCATTTTCTATTTGTCAGACCCATTTCCACCGGCCCCTTTTCTTCTTGTTCTGCTAAACTGTTACTGTGAAATATGACAATATGAGTGAAAACAATGTGCTGCATTTAGCCAAAAATCCCCATCTTAAGCAAAAACATGACAAATCTTAAAATTTGACAGATGACTGAAGAACATAGACTCGTAAAGGACAGATTTTTTTGATTAATTAACGCCTCCTGTATTGTATATTTTAACAATATGAAATCACTGCCCCAGTGTACTTTCACCTGGATATGTAGCAGGTCACTGTTTGTTTTTTTACTGTGTCATACTTTAACTGCACCGAGGCAGCGTCAGCTCGTGAACACTCAACGCACGTTTTGATTTCACGATCCAGCCGGGTTCAATTTTTTTAAATAGAGCGACTCTGCCTGTATGTATTTTAATAATTTTCAATGTGCCATAATCTTCAGACACGAATGCCTTCTTTGTCTAATCGAACACTTGAGGAGCAGGAAAGCTTGATGTCTGTGTGCATTCCAGTGAAAAGAAAATTTAGCACAAGTTGTGAAACATCTGCAAAGAATCTCACGTTCGCTTCGGCCTAATTGAAGAGAGAATAAAATGTATTATCTAAGTATAGCAATGCTGTTGAATTGTACACAAGAAATTAGCAAATCTTCAAAGAGTGAAAATTAAACTAGACTTCTGAAAGAATATTTAACAACTTGTTTGATGTTCTGTTTACTCACAGGACAACAAACATTACATTTAGTCTTTGTGAAAACAGGCCTGAGTTTGTGCACCTAAAGGCTTTCTGTAATGAGTGTGTAGCTGTGTCACATGATTTATTCACCATCAGTCGTGGAGTCAGTGGTGCAGGTTTAATGATGAACTCTTATTATAGTGTGTCGATCAGATGGGTGTTTCTGCTTCTTTTTGTTCCCGTTTGTGTAAATGGACTGTACAAAACAAAGTGGAGCTTGAAGCAGAAGGTGTAAATTTAACGTTACAGGTCTTAGACCACATTAAAGAGGTGGGAATTTTCCCCATGGGGCACTTCTACTGTTGATAATCTTGTACATTATTTATACTATTCAGATGACAGAGGATCCAATCTGCAACTGAAACTTCAACCACTGGGTGTTTTGGTTTGGTTACAGCTACCACAGAAAGAGTAAAGGCAGCAGCACCACACCCGTAGACAAAACTAAACTCCAAAGTTGCCTTCAGATTTCACCAGCCACCTAATGGGATAGTTCATTTTTTTTGTAGTGGGGCTCTTAATCATAGTCGATGTATCACCTACAGTAGATGACGGTGGTCACGCCCCCAGTTGGGAGAAGCAGGCAGGAGTACAGACACGGAAAATAAGCAATGCTCTGCTGTGGACAGGGCAGCAACAAAACGCAATTTAAGGCTCAGCACATGAACACACTGCTAGTTAGCCAGTCAGCACATTAACAACACTTCCAGTGTGGAAAGAACAAAGCATATTTACAGTGCACCAGTGAACAATAACACGAACCATCATAAAACTTTCTGCTGAAGAACTTGGGCTCAAGAAAAATAATCTTGCCTAAAATAAGTTTGTTTCAGTCACACTCCCTCTTGACTTTAGCCCATTGTTTATTTTCCTCACTTCCGTTTCTCTTCTTGTGCACTGTGCTAAACTGCCAATCAGAATACTCCTTTTGCAGACAGACTCCACTGCCGACATGCTAAATCAGCCAAGAAAAAAGCTGACTTGGGGCCAATGAGAGGCAACAATGCAGGACACACCGCATCAACGAGGGCAGCAGACACTCGCTTGGTGTGTCAGAGCCGTCATCACTGTTTTTGTCAATGGAGTCTGGCTTTGAAGAGAGCAAAATAACGGCTTCAGTTCCCTGTTGGAGAGGGCCGCCTGACAGTGGGTAAAGCAGTGAAAATATTCAAAATATAGTGCACACGTTTCGCTGCTGCCCCTCTACAGCTGTACATTGCTTAGCTTCTGTATCAGTACTCCTGCCTGCTTCTCCAAACTGGGGCCATGCTAACTGCCATCTAATGTATGTAACACACCAATTATGGATAAGTACCTCATACAGCCCCACTTCAAAAACTTCAAACTATTCCTTTAATGGGTGTGAGGTACAGCAACAAGGCCGTGTTTAGAGATGATTATCACTGCCAGAACACACACCTCAGTGAGGTTTGATTCGCTGCTTTCTTTTCTAAATGCAAACCACAGTCTTCAGTCTACAACACAATGTATGATGATATGAATGATCGACCCCAGTATCTGAAGTGATGTAATTGATTTCTGAAAAGCAAATTTAATGGACTTTTGCCTGTAAGTAGGAAGTGCTACATGTATATTATCAAAGACTTGTTAAGAGTAGTTTGATGTGTTGGGAGACTTTGTGGACCTTTGATGAAAAGTAATAAAGAATTCTGAATCACTGCAGAGGTTGGTTACTATTTTATGGTCTATGCATTATAAAGATATGTTAAAAAAATAAATAAAAGGTCATAATGTTGCTGTAAAAAAACAATCTGCCATGTGTCAGTATATTATGAGGTGGTAGTTCACCTGCGGGGCCACTGGAGGGAGCACTACATCACACTTCATCTCACACTGCTGCTGAAACCAAGTTGAACATCACTGCCTTCACCACAATGTTCTTAATATACCAGATCCCAAAGTAATATCTCCAAATATATGGAGCCATAACACTGACAAAAAGCGAGTAGTTAAGTCATTGGTTATCAGACAAGTCAATAATTGAGCTAACTGGATAACAAACACGATTAAATGTGCATTAAGACCAAAATAAAAGGAAATTAAAGAGTAAAATAAGTTGTTTTTGTTACAAAATCAAGTGTTTTTCTTCCCCTTTAACTAACTGGAAGTTAAAGGAGAAGTACAAAGTTTTATATTTCTTTCTTTACTCATTTGACTCATCTGATAAATCTTTACTGCCTTCTGTCTGTTTCAGGGCTCCACACCACACTGCTTTTTAAAAAATAAATAAATAAACTTCAAGATACTTAATTTACAATTGTATGCTTTGCTTTTTGAATCAAACCACTCCGTGATAAAAAGCTGCTCGTCAAGGGCTCAGCCCGTAAATACAAAAAATACAAGAGAGGCAGAAGTTTAAAAAAGCAACCCTTTTATTTGACCGTCATGGGCCAGTGCAAAAAACCCATCTCATTTACAGCTTGTCCCTCCCGTCCCTCCCTCCCCCAATTACCAACTTCATCTCCATGATCTGAGTAAACAGCAGCTCTGTGGAACCTCTGCTCCGTCACATGGGGCAGTCGTAGATGTGGATGGCGCGGTCGTCTCCAGCGGAGATGATCTTTGAGCCGGTGCTGTTGTACTTTACACTCCACACCTGACAAGAACACGGACAGCAAAGGTGAGAATGGGCTCTGAGTTAAATATGAAAATTGTAATTCTATAAGCAGTATCCACATTTTAGAAAAACAGTGCACTAACAAGTAAAAAGACGAGTAGTATGACGAACAGCATTGAAATCTCTCTATCAAGAACTGCACAAGAATTAACAAGTTTAACATAATGTCCCAAACAGTAAGAATGATGGTAGTGTGACATTAAAATCTATACTAGGTTTGTGTCAATGATAAACCCCAAAGGCCCTTGACTCAACATTTTACAGAGAGGACGAGGAGGAAAGCAAGGTGTATATGGTCCCAAAAGGAGAAAATATCAAAATGCCTTGTTGATGCCAGAGGTCAGAGGAGAATGGCCAGACTGGTTCAAGATGATAGAAAGGCAACAGTAACTCAAATAACCACTGGTTACAACCAAGGTCTGCAGAAGACCATCTCTGAACCAACAACACGTCCAACCTTGAAGCAGATGGGCTACAGCAGCAGAAGACCACACCAGGTGCCAATCCTGTCAGCTAACAACAGGAAACTGAGGCTACAGTTCACACAGGCTCACCAAAACTGGACAATAGAAGATTGGAAAAACATTGCCTGGTCTGATGAGTCTGGATTTCTGCTGCCACATTCAGATGGTAGGGTCAGAATTTGGTGTAAACAACATGAAAGCATGGATCCATCCTGCCTTGTATCAACGGTTCAGGCTGCTGATGGTGGTGTAATGGTGTGGGGGAAATTTTCTTGGCACACTTTGGGCCCCTTAGTACCAACTGAGCATGGTTTAAACACCACAGCCTACCTGAGTATTGTTGCTTTACATTGATTCACACATGTTCTGTTACTGCTCTAAAGCATCAAAGACTGAAAGGCGGTTTAGGCACAAACTACACAGGTAAACAAGTTAAAAATGGAGCTGTCACGGATGCTGTTCTGTGACCTCAAAAATCCTCTAAAATGCTTTTAATCTGATCAGAAACTCAGTGGTGCAGAGAACTGAGACCAAAGCAAACAAAGGCGGAAAAAATGCTCTAAACAGAAGAACAAAGTAAAGCTGAACAAGTCATTGGCTGCAAATGATTCCTGTAGACGTCCTGCGGTTTGTTTTCCGTCTTTCATGATGACACAAAAACATGGCAGAGTCCACAGCTTCTGATCTGCTCTCTGAGGAGCCCTGATATTTCATTTAGAGGCTTTACTGGAGAACAGATCAACCTCCCCACAGGCGTCTGCAACCAGGGATCTAATGACAGCTGCGTTTATTGGTTTAGCCTGAGCTGAGACGTCAGAGAAGGGTCATGTGAGAGGCCACGCCATATTGATTTCCCCCCGCCAAACACATCAGCACCTATAGCAGATGGATTTTCTCACATTGGATTTGATTACAAACACACTCAGCGAGGAGATATAGGGTTATCTTTGTCACCTGGTCTTGATGGTCAAAGAAAGTGTTGATACACGCTCTGGAGCTGGCGTCCCAAACCTTCACACTCTTGTCGGATGAGCTGAGAGCAGCAGAGGAGAGAGGACATTGTTTCAACAGTTCATCTTAGAGTCAAACTTTGTGTTGTCTGGCTGACCTGCTCGGTTTATTTTGGCACCCTGAACTGGAAACTGTCTGAAAAACAGCTTCAGCTGACAACGGTTTCACACAACGGGAGTGAAGGCATAAGAAAGAAGACAAGAGGAAACATGTCTGCTAATGTACACTGACGGTCAAGGGCAGGTTTACTGCTCACAACTACTGGCTGTTATAAAATATTGCATTTACTAAAAGTGTACTGGAATACGTTATTTGGGAAAGCACAAATATGTGATAGAAACAAATATATATTCCACCCATATATATTATATATTCATTTTCTCATTTATTTATTTCAGGATTTGTTTCATAGCCATATTTACAGAGTGCTGCATGGACGACGTTTATTTGTAGGCTAACACGGAAGTTAACACCACCGTGGTTCCCTCGACTCCATTTTAGATTACTGCAGAAAATAAGCTCTGGCAAACAAACGTTTATGATACTTACAAATTTTGTTCAGCAAGATAATCTTCACTAATAAACACCAACTTTGTGATTTATTTAAGTTTAAATGCAATCGACAGAAGTAAAAAGCTAACGTTAGGCTACAAACAAACTGAGCTATGGTTGCATGACTTTAACATCTCCACTTACAGCCTTGTTCATCATGATGATGTTCTGTAGTCTCATTTAGCCACTCATCAGCAACCGCCTTTTTTAAGACATGCAAAGGCTTCAAAATTCACGTGGGATATTTGAAAGATGTAGTTTATGTTGTAGAACTAAACATTTAAGTCTATTCAGCTTGTGTTAACTACAGACCTTATTTCAGACAGATAACCTTGTTGGTTGAACAGATACAGATACTGACACGTCTCTGTACACCTCCAGTATTTATAATGGCATTGTCTATTTCAGGTCGTTCAACATTTGCTTCAGGTGGTAAAATGTGTTGCAGAAATGCAGCTTTTATGCGTTTGATTTTACCTTGAGACAAAGTGGGTGTCATCTGGGGAGAAGGCGACGTTAAGAACCCAGGATCCGTGTCCACTCAGTGTGCCAGCCAGGCTGGCATGTTGCCTGTAAAACAACAGCTGAAAGTTTATTATGGCAAACTTTCTTTTCATTCTTCTATACAGTTTATTTCTGCATTTGTATGTTGGCACACTACAAGCAGACAGCAAGCAGAGTGCATTCACGTGGACATGAGTAACATGTTTATGGTAAGGTTTTTGGTTGCTTCTATACACCATATCCAGGTTATCCAAGCCGTCGACTACCTGCGCAGGCACAGTTTTAGCCGAGTGACATAAACTCTGAGTTTTATCTCTCAGTTATGAAAGAGGCTGCGTATCTAAATCCATTGCTCCCTTGTTCTACATGGTGGAAGTGACAGGCTGGCACTGGTGTGGAGGACAGCGTTATATGAGTATGTTAGGTTGGCAACTACGTAGTGTGTGAGAGGTTGAGAGAAAGACAGACACATGGAGGCACTCAGATCAGACAGCTGTTGGCAGTCAGAGCAGAGAGGAAATCACTTGTTAATTTGTCAAGTGTTAGCCGAGTAAATGAACAGTGCTAAACACTTCCTGTTGCTCTCATCTCCCTTTGCCGGTTGTTTTTATAAACATCACAGGCACCTGCACAAACGGACTTCAGTAATCAGTAACTAGTACTTTTCATCCATCCATTTTCATCCGCTTATCCAGGGCCGGGTCGCGGGGGCAGCAAGCCAAGCAAAGCACCCCAGACGTCCCTCTCCCCAGCAACGCTTTCCAGCTCCTCCTGGGGACCCTGAGGTGTTCCCAGGTCAGATGAGATATGTAATCCCTCCAGTGTGTTCTGGGTCTGCCCTGGGGCCTCCTACCAACTGGACGTGCCCGGAACACCTCCAACAGGAGGCGCCCAGGAGGATCCTGATCAGATGCCCAAACCACCTTAACTGACCGCTTTCAACGCGAAGGAGCAGCGGCTCTACTCCGAGCTCCCTCCGGATGTTCGAGCTCCTCACCCTATCTCTAAGGCTGAGCCCAGCCACTCCCCGAATTAAACTCATTTTGGCTGCTTGTATCCGCGATCTCATTCTTTCGGTCACTACCCAGAGCTCATGACCATAGCTGAGGGTTGGGACATAGATGGACCAGTAAATCGAAAGCTTTGCTTTCTGGCTCAGCTCCCTCTTCACCATGATGGTCTGGCGCAGCACCTGCATCACTGCAGAAGCTGCACCAAACCACTGATCTATCTCATGCTCCATTCTACCCTCACTCCTGAGATACTTGAACTCCCTCGCTTGATTTCTCTGTGTTTATGTAAAAACCGCATCCCAAATATGATCAAAACCGGGATAAGCCTCATAAACAGGTTATTCATATCCATGTAAATGCACTCACCTATGCACCCTCCCCTCCCTTGTTATTTATCTATATCTATATACATTTTATTATGTATACCGAGCATCTTTGACACAGAATACATTTTAGAAAAGACCAAAACTGGTCAGCAGGAGGATCCACAAGCTGCCAGCT